TGCTTTTATTTGCAGAATTTCAGAAATGCTGTAAACAGAGCAAGTCTAGCAGTTGGTTAGTATAAAAATTTAACTCACACATTGTTATATGTTGCTTCACTCAAACTGTGTTATAAGACTACATTTATATTGTTTCAAGGCAAGAATGCTTTTATTTGCAGAATTTCAGAAATGCTGTAAACAGAGCAAGTCTAGCAGTTGGTTAGTATAAAAATTTAACTCATGCATTGTTACATATTGCTTCACTCAAACTGTATTATAAAACTAACACCTTTGTTGCATTTTTTTTTTTAGGCATTCGGATTTATGACTGTCGAAGTTTGCTTTTCTGACATCTTTTTTTAGATTATTTCAAGGCAAGAATGCTATTATTTGCAGAAATGCTATAAACAGGAGCAAGTCTAGCAGTTGGTTAAGTATAGAAATTTAACCCACACATTGTTATATATTGCTTCGCTCAAACTGTATTATAAGACTAATACACCATTGTGATATTTTTTTTAGGCTATTTCAAAGTGAAAATGGCTTTTTTGAATAATGCTTGTAAAGAATATTATAGGTTTAAACAGTTATTCAGGTTTATAACTATCAGAATTTTGCTTGTTGGATTTTTAAATAAGCTTTTATGCTTGAATTAGTTATTATTTATTCTTTGTTGTGCTTACAAATCAGTTATTATTTATTCTTTGTTGTGCTTACAAATCAGTTTTTCAAATTAATTCTTACAACTTTATACTTTTTCTTCTTAATAGTTCTATACCAACAAAAGATTCAAACATTCATACAGTAATCATAGAAGATTTTAATGAAAGAACATCGATTTGGTGACATATTTTGAAGAAATTACTTATTGTAGTAATGATATAAACATCATATATAATAACCTTGAACCAGTATCTTTAAAAGAAGATGATTTTTTCAACACTTTTGATGAAGCTGAACTTTGTATACATCGATTTGCAGAATATAAGGAGTTTAAGGTGCGACTTGGGTATGTAAAAATGATAGACACAGCTGAAAATGATAAGGTAGTTTGCAAGCAGACTATTTTCTGCAAACACTCTGGTTTATTTGAATTTAAAAATACTGATAAGTTAAATACTTTGGCTCAATTATCATACCAATGGCATATTAATCTTTCATGTCCTTTGAAGGATAACCATATGGGCTGATTTGCAGATCACCCCAAAATTTTTAACACACCTAAATTTGACTTCATATAGAGCGTCAGTGATTGACGCCTAGATTAACCAATTAAATTTAGCTTTTATAGATGCATCAGTAATTAACATCCAGATAATCAACATGAAAGTATTATCAGAGACAACTAATCTCTAATTATATAAAGAGTGAAAGCACTTTTGGAACACCACCTAATCTCAATGAATCTTCATATAAGGAGGAAGAGGCACTGATGCAAGTACCTTAACGATCTTTATTATTTATTTTTATTTTACTTTTTTTTAATTATTTCTGATCGGAAAGGTTTATACTTTTTTTTCGCTTATTTTTTTTTATTTTTTTTATTTTTATTTTACTTTATTCTTCTATTTTTTTTAAATTATTTATTTAATTATTTATTTTCAGATTATCCCCTAGATCTAGATCTAAATCAGATTTAGATCACTTTAATCTTTGCCGACCGGGATCTGTAAGATAAGTGTCTTTTTTTTTTCTGTTTGTTTTTTTTTTATTTATATATTTTATATCTTAGCTTGAACTTCTGTAGGTTTATTTCATTAGAACACCAGGTAGTGGAGATTATAGCTGGGATTTGTAAGATTAGGGATTGGCCTGGGTAGTTTAATAATACCCGGGCAGGGATTTTTTCGACAGGACCAAGCTCTATATAAGATAAGTAGCTTTTTTTCTTTTTCTGTTTTTTTTTATTTTTGGCTTAAAGTTAAATCTCTTTTCTTTCGTAGATTGGCTTTGCTAAAATGCTGAGTATTGGTAATTCAAACTGAAATATTGTAAGATACGTAGTAAATAGTTTTCATTGTTTGTCTTTTTTTTTTTTCCTAACTTACTAATATATTTTTTTCATATACTGTATTAGCCTTGCTAGAATACTGAGTAGCATAGCTACACCATCGCTGCTTGAGTCATTACAGTCGTTGGAGTCGTTTTTTGGTTTTCATCACTAGAAATTTAGGCTTTCGTCATTTCGTGACATCTCTAGTGAAAGTTCAGCCTTCATCGTTTTTGGTGTTATTGTGCTTTTGCTATGATTTAATTTTAGCTTCGTTACTATTGGAATTGGGTATATGGGTATATGTCATCACGGCTGTAAAAGTTGAATGTCATTGGTGGCTTCATTATGTCATGTTTGATGTGGTTTGGAATATTTATTACAAGGCATTTTTTAGGCTCTCAGTGTTAGTTGTTTAGAATTAGGGTTAGTTAGTAGTTAAATGTAATTTTTTTTTAATAAATAGAAAATTTTTTGTTATGCAAGTTTCTTTTTTTGATAAAAATTTGAATCTGTATGAGCTAATTTTTTTGATCAGTTTTACAGGATCCGATCAGAGTTAATTGTGCCTAAAAATTATACTAAATCTGGTGCAGTTAAACATTAATCATATTTATTTTTGATCCATTAAAGAACATTTTTCTCTTTGACGAATAAACGTTTTAATATTTGATCAAAGATTTCATGAGCGAGAAAGTTGTATATTCCTATATTAATGAAAAAATGAAAACAATTTATTTAAAATTAAACATTCAAAAGCTTTACTCATTTATTTTATTTTTTATACAAATTAATATAATTAATATAATGTAATACGCATAGTATAATAATAGTTTAATAAATAGAAAATCAACAAAGTAATAATAACAAAACCTTGCCGTATTCAGTATTTAGTTTAGACACAATGACCTGGAATTAAAATATGTGGCGCAAACCCAAATTAAATATATATTTTGAAACCCAAGCTAAATATGTATCACGAAACCCAAGTAAATATATATACCATGCTAAATATATATCACGAAACCCAAACTAAATACCAAATTGCTAATACTAAATATATGTCAAAATACATTATGAAGCCCAAACTAAATATATGTCGCGAGATCTAAACAAAACTAAATACATGCCCAAGATCTAAACAAAAGCTAAGTGTGCATCGTGAGATCTAAACAAACTAAAAAGTTAAACTTTGTAAAGTTTAAATTTTTAAAAACTTAAAAAACAATTTTTAATTTAAAATTAACTTCTCTTATATTTTATTAAATTCGATTCTTTCTAAAAAACTCATGGATTTTGAGGTAGGCTTATGGGTTTTATTATATTCTCTAGAAGAAACATTGGGGTATGTTTTTTATTTACATCAAATCAGCATGTGACTTTTTGCAGATCATTGAATATTTTGGGAACTAATTTAAGGTCCAATTCCATAAATCAGCTGATATGCTCTAATTTCTTGTATATGTTACTACCTTTAATGATGATCATAATTATAATCTATCTCCTAAAGCAATACTTTTTGAAAAAACAAAAAGTTCACAAAAGAGATGCAGAAGGAAGTGGAATTTCTAGTTACTAAATGTCATCTTGATACAACTATAGTTTGGCATATCATAAAAGAGAAGTTTCCTTCTCATTCTATATTTTCCAAGGACCTCTATACTGAAATACAATGATGTCAGCCATCAAGTAGTGTGGTTAAAAGTGATGCATCACAGTTTTATTAGCAGTTGTTATCAAAACAACAAGAAGATTCTTATTGGTTTGTTGAAGTTACATGGGAAAGAAGAAACTAATACGTTAACGAATTTGTTCTGGATAAGTTCAGAACAAATTCTATTATAGTGTGAATTTGGTGAAGCAATTGGGTATGATAACACTGCAGGTACCAACAGGTATAATATGCCTCTTTCTTTATTAATAGCACAGATCAATAAGAGGGCATCCATGTATAACATTATATACCCCTACATAGTAGCTCTTGACCCCCCTAGACTATATAAAAAAAATTTAAAAATCCATATATTTATATATAAAATTTTATAAAAACTTGGATATATTATGACCTAGTAATCCGATCAGGATGATTTTAGTATCATTTGATTCGTCTCGGTGAGACGAATCCAATAGTACTAATATCATTTTATTTGGACCACTAGATAACGTTTTATTAACAAAATACTATTGATTTTATAGTAATTTTATAAGAAAACATAATAACCAATAGTATTTCGTTAATAAAACATGATCTAGTAATCCAAATCAAATAATTTTGGTACTATTCAACTCCTCCCTCGAGATGATTTGAATAGTACCAAAATCATCCAATTTGGACCACTGGATCAAATTTTAGCAAAATTTTTATAAAGAAATTGCGTTATATTTTGGGGGACTCCCCTCTAAATATTGAAAAATCATTATATTTTGGGGACCCTCTCTCCCCTCAAGCATAACGTTATTTATGGATGCCCCCTAATATGCATCTCACATTGTCGCTCAAGCTTTTGTTAACAATGAGACAACTAAAACATACCAATGGATCCTTCAAATAACCAAAAAAGCTACTAGTAATAAATATCTCTGTGTTTTTGTGACTGATGCCGATTTAGCAATAGAACAAGTAATAACTTTGGAATATCTAGGAACACAACATCTTTTTTGTATTTGGCATATTAAAGAAAATATAAAAAAGGTGTTGCATGGCAAGTTGAGAGATTCATTTGATGAATTTTATAGCAAGTTTTGGCAGTGTAAAAATGCTAATATGTTACATGGCTTTGAATATTATTGGAATCAACTTTTGGACTTTCCTAATGCAAAACCATATCTTGAATGTTATCTTTATAAACGTCGACATTCATGGGCGCATGCTTTCACTATAATGGCATTTATACTTGGAATTCAATCTACATCTTTCGTCAAAAGTCAAAATGTATGTATCAAGCAAGTGTTGAAGAATAGTAATATGTCTTTGTGTGATCTAGGTAAAGTATTGATGGAAAGAAGTAAAAAAGAACAAAAGCATAAGCAATTTGAAGAATAGAGATCGGGTATTCCTTTTACAACAAGTGTTGTTACCGTTTTTTCCCCAATAGAATCCTTAGTAAAACACTATTTGAGGCTGAATGTTTTTTATTTTTTAATAGAGCAAATGAAAGAAAGTTTATATTATACTGCCAGTCATTCCACAATTGAAGAAGTAGAATCACTTACAGTTCATGAATCTCTTCAATGCAAAGATATAGATAATAAGTTTGATGCAGTTTATCTTTCTGCTAAGTATCTTTTAGATCATTTGGAGCAGAATTCAATTAAGGAGATCTGGAAAGTGTCAAGAGTTACAAGTTATTGGGTTAATTATTTTATCTTTCTTTTTGCAGATAGTTTATATGGTTGTACTTGTTTTTTTGCAACAAAGAAAAGGTCTTGTTTGGCATCATTTTTATCATCTATTAAATGTAACAGAGAAGGCAGAATTTAGTTTGATATTGATAGCAGCACAATGGATCCCTAGAAACATATGGCTAGAAGCAGCAAAAAAATGTTCTTACTCTAGTTAACAATTTAATGAATTAGCTAGTGACAAAAGTATCGTTCAAGAAAGTAGTGAGTGTCAATTTGTGTGGTTGCAACTATTTGCTAGTAATGAAACTGAGAACCCTATAAATGAAGAGTTTGTCAATGAAATTATTTTTTATGGAAAAGTTTGGGTCTCGCTCATACTGCTATTAATAAGTGTATGTTACATCGTGATTATGAATTTGTTGGTTTAATTAAAGCCTATCTAGATAAGATTCATGTAAGAGAAGATGAATTGATCGAAAAACAAGAAGCCACAGCAGATCAAGATTCTATTGAAAATATAGAAGGCAATATATCAATTGTGAATCCTTGAAAGGTAGTTACTAGAGGAAGGCCAAAGTCAGCAAGTCATGATAAAAATGGCATAGCAACTACACAAGAAAAAGTAATAAGAAACATGGGCAATATACTTGCGGATTTTGCAAAAAAGTAGGCCATAATATTGCAACATGTCTATATAAAGTAAGAGTAAGTATATTGAATTGTAAAGATATAAGGGTGTGATTATTAATATTATAAGAATCGAAGATTTATATGTTTGTATATTATAAATTGTGCTTTTGTATATCAATTATATGTACTAATAGTTGATAATTTTTGTCTTTATTAAAAGATAGGATTAGTTTGGGTAATGCTTGCTTATTTTGCTTATTGTATTATATGTACTGTATTTTTGTAGTAGCATAGGATATGTATTGATAGTAATAAATTGATTGTTGATGTAGTACATATAGTTTATTGTTATGTTCAGATTTACCATTTGATAAAATATATTACATACATCTTATATAATACTATATATAGTATTATGGTACAAGTTTGGATATGTATATATGTACATATATATGTACCTAACAATATATGTAAATTTTAAATATTTCTTTGTTAAAGGATTAGGGTCAGGATGAGCATCAACATAGTTTTTTCGTGTTATCAATTAGGGTTAGTAGTGCTTATAGTTAGTACGTATTAATATTCGAACTATGTTCTGTAATATTTATATTGATCACTATTAAAATATATAATGTTTCTTTGTTAAAGGGTTAGAGTTAGGGTGAGCATCAACATAGCTTTTTTGTATTGGCAGTTAGAGTTAGTAGTGCTTATAGTTAATTTTTACAGTATATATTAGTATTCGAACTATGTTCTGTGATACTTATATCAATCACTATTATTGTGTTACAGACAGGTACACAGCCAAATGTATGTGTTATTTGTATCACCATGTCACGTGGTATTAGTCTTGATTTTATTTGCTGTGTCATGTGATTTTTTATTTTTATTTTTATTAACTATGTCACGCGAGAGGTGCACTATAGTGCAGGTGCACCAAAAAATAAAACCCAATATATATTGCTAGTTCAAAATATTTTAAATAATTTTAAATAGTTTTAAATAGTTTTGGACAGTTTTGAACAGTTTTGGACAATTTTGGACAATTTTGGACAGTTTTGGACATGTCCAATTTCTGCACTGCCTTAGCCTGTATAATTAATAAAACAATAATCACTTATAACACTTATACATACTATCAACCTGCTACTTAACCTAAAATTATATTTATTACTCAGTAGTATAACTCTATAAATATAAAATATACTGTAAACATTAGTACAAGCCTATTATTATAATATATATAACATTAAATAGTACACTCAATGCTCTATGTTCAATCTTCTTTTTTTATTGCCTGTTTTTGGCATTTAAAACTTATATATAACTAGTATTAAATAGAGTTAGTTTGTCATGATTTCTACTATGAGTTACTATAAAAAAATTCCTTTATTGAATTTGTTATTTTGTGATTACTACATTGTAATTATCATGATTTCTACATAGTTAAGGCTGAGTTAGTTTGTATTAGAATTATTGTGATAACTATTGTAAAAAATTTTTACAGTACTTACTCTCTCTATTCTAATGACCACAATTGTAGTTGTGTTGATATAATTATTGTTGAGTTCACATTATTATTATGACTTTTATGCAATTAAGGTTGGCATTAGATTTATCATAATTTTGTAAATCGTCATAATAATTCTGTTACAGAATTTGTTCACTGTTTTAGTGACAGTAAAGTTAAGTTAATTTGTATTTCATGAGGTACTGTAAAAATTTGTTATGAAACTTACCCATAATTATAATACAGTACACCCTCTCAAATCCGATACGCATAGTGGACAGCTTTTGTATCAGTTTTGAGAGGTTATTGAATTTAAAAATTAATTTAAATACCAATGGTCTGCTGTCACATGATTACAAATAAATATGATTGGCTGGATTATATTTCCTATATATATTATCTGTTGCACAAAACCCAATCTTAGCCAATCAAATCAATTTATATTACCTGTCAAAACCGATATTTTATAGATATCTGATCGTTTGGGTATCGGTTATCAGAAATGGCAGGTTATTGGGTTTTATCGATTATAGCAAGTTATTGGTTTTGACAGGATCGGTTTTGGGAGAGTGTACTGTAATATATAATATGTAGTTTGAGTTGATTTGCATTATGATTTTTTTCATGAGTTACTATAAAAATTCTACTAGCAATCCCAGTAACTGCAAGATGTAATTAAGATTTAGTGAACGTTAGAATTATGATTGTCTTGTGAGTTACTATAAAAAATTTTGTTACAGAATATTATTGTGACTTCTATTATGAGGTATTGTAAAAAATTTCATTACAAAACTCCAGTAATACAGAGAGACCTTCCTAAATGCACCCCTTCAGGACCATAGTAAAAAAATTCAAAAAATGTGTACTTAGAGAGGGCATGCATTTATAGAGGCAAAATATATAGTGCTATTATAATCTGGGGCCAGGCTGTGCATTTAAAGAGATTTTATATAGAGAATGCATTTATAGAAGGCGCATTTAGAGGATCTCTCTGTACATAATATGTAGTTGGAGTTAATTTGTATTGGAATTATTATTATTCTCATGAGTTACTATACAAAAAATTTTGTTATAGAACAGTACTCGCTATGCAAGATGTAATTAAGATTGAGTTTCATTAGAATTATAATTTCTCTCATGAGTTACAATAAAAAATTTTGTTACAGAATATTACTTACTATCCCAGAATGTAATTAATGTTGAGTTCATATTGGAATTATTATGACTTTATGCAGCTAAGGTTGATTTAGTTTGCATTAAAATTTACATAATTTCTATTGTGAATTATCATAAAAATTTTGGTGCAATTTCTATCATAAGTTATTATAAAAATTGTTACAGAACTTACTGTACCACAGTATGTGGTTAAGTTAGTTTGCATTGGAATTATCGTGATTCTACTATGAGTAAGTATAAAAGTTTTGTTGTGAAACTCATTTGCTCTTTTGGTAATTATATATTGGTTGAGTTAATTTGCATTAAAATTACTATGATCCTGTCATGATTTCTATCATGAATTACTGTAAAAATCCTTTTTAGTGTCCATAGTATAGTTGTTAAATGAAACCTTTTTTGCTTGGTAACAAAACCTCAAATTTTGCTGATGAAAGACGAACCCCAAATTCAAAATGACGAAACCCTAACGCTCTGTCTAAAAAAAAAACCGTTGGCTCCCATTAAAAAAAAAAAAAAAAAAAAAAAAAAAAAAAAAAAAAAAAAAAAAAAAAAAAAAAAAAAAAAAAAAAAAAAAAAAAACAAAAAAAAACAAAAAAAAAAAAAAAAAAAAAAAAAAAAAAAAAAAAAAAAAAAAAAAAAAAAAACTGGATTGATAAAACTCTATGATAATAGTGAATCCCTACTTCTCTTGCTAAAAAATTACTACTGAAATTTTGTTTTTGATGAAGCTATCAATAAAAACAATAAAATTAAACAATAAAATTAATAAAATTATCTCTATAATTTTAGATATTTAACCTGTTGATAAATTTTTAATAAGGTTTTTATTTATATTTAATACTGATGATGTTTATTGACTTATACATATATTTAGGGTTTAAAAAGCCAATTATAAATAGCAAATAAACCATTAGCATCTATGTTTAATACTGAAGATGTTTATTGGCTTGACCCGGCTTGTATATTTAGGTTTTGAAAAGCCAATTACAAAAATTTATAATTGAAGATCTGAAAACAATGTATGTACGTACCTCTTATTAATTTTTATTATCTGTACTAATTTAATTGATAAATTACTTCTTAAGTTACTTATTAAAATTGATATAATTGTATGTTTTAAATTTTAGTCTTATATAAGCATAAATGTAAAAGCCAGTGGTGCCCTTACTTACAATTGCTTCTGTTTCTCATTTTTTATTAGTTTCATGTCCTTTGCAGTTTCATCAGTTTTATCACCTTTTGTCAGTTTTGTCACCTTTCGCCAGTTTCGTCACCTTTCGTCATTTCATCATTTGAGATTTTAGTTGATGAAAGACAAAACTAAGTTTTGCATTTCATCAGTGCGAAACCTCAAGATTCGTCTAACAACTATAGTCCATAGCACAAAGTTTGCTATTCCTATAATATGCAACATGTTGAGTTGGTTTGTATTGGAATAAAGAATTTTGTTACATAAAATTCTGGTAATGAATTAGTTTGTATTTGAGTTACTATTTCTTCTATCATGAGTTACTATTAAACAAACCTACTCGACATACAGTCGACTCTAGATATACTGAACCTGTTTATACCGGAATTAGGTTATAACAAACCAGATTTGGCAGACTAGATTTTTAATAATTATTTACAGCTGTTTTCATTATTCCTGGAACACCTATAAAAAATTAGCCAAAAAAATTTTCGGCCAGTAATTATTTTGGCATGATCAGTATATAAAAAATATATTTTTGAATTCATTCAATTATAATTTACTATAATATTGATATAATATCTACGTCATGTATATTTTTGAATTCATTCAATATAATATCTACGTCTAAATTACATTTTTTGGTCCAATTTCAAAAATTACCATAATAAATATAATACCTGTTCTACATACAAATAATTTTATTATTATAATTAGGGTAGCTGCGCGACGCAGTGGTGTCGCGCCAAAACCAGGAACGTACTACAGATTGGTTTTGAAAATTATTATATTTTTATTTTAATTATTGCTG